AAGTCGGCTGAAATCCTATTTGAAGTGTTTACATGATGGACTCCTCAGAGATTGAAAACAAGAATGTTGCTGAATTTGGACAAGTTCAGGGGACTCCAGTTGATTCTTTATTGACTGTGACCACAGTCAAGCTGGATGGAACTAATTATCTGTCACGGTCACAATCGGTAAAGATTTATATATGTAGTAGAGGAAAGTGGGGTTTTATCTCCGGGAGCAAGAAAGCTCCCCCAGAGGATGATCCATCCTATGAGAAGTTGATGCAAGAGAATTACACTGTGTGGCTTGTGAACTCAATGCAGCCACAGATTAGCCAACACCATCTATGGATGAATTCAGCAAAGGAAATCTGGGACAGTGTTGTAGAAACTTATTCCCAAAAACTAAATGTGGCTAGAACCTATAAATTGATAAGTGATGTGAAGAATTTAAGGCAGGGGGAGAAACCTTTAGCTGTATACTTCTCAACCCTTAAGTCTCTGTGGCAAGAAATTGACCTAATAGAAGCTGTAACTTTGGACACCACCAATGATGCAGAGACCTACAGGAAACTGGTTGAAAGAAACAGGGTGTTTGAATTCTTAACCGGACTAAACCCAAAATATGATATCACAAAACAGAATATTTTATCCAAGGAGAGTGTCTCGTTGTCACAAGCATATGCATTGGTGAGCAGTGAAGAGAGCAGAAGGATTGTTTAGGTTCAAGGGGCTGGTATTAGTGATCAATTTGTGAATATGGGGGTTAAACCCAAAGGAGTTGCAGGGACTTTTAGTGGCTCTGGGAAGAAAGAGGTTGTATGTGAGTACTGCAAGAAGCCAAAGCACACCAAAGACAAGTGTTGGAAATTACATCCTGATCTTGTTCCCATTCGGTTTTAGAAAAGGCATGATAGTAAAAGGACAGGGAGTGCAAATGTGGCTACTAGTCCAGATAGTGAYAAGTACTATACTGAAGAGATGTTTGCTTGTGCACAGTTGGCAGCCATGAAAACAGAATATGAAAAGTTTGGGAAGATAATCAGTCATCTAGAGGGTGTGACTTCTTCTTCCAACCCTTCAAGAAATTCAGCTTCTTTTGCATTTGCTCATTCAGGTATAAGGGCTTCTACCAATCATGCAACCACTTCAGGTAATCTTAAGATCCCTTGGATTATTGATTCAGGTGCTTCTGATCATATGACCAACCTTTCTACCTTGTTTGTTTCATATGATTTGCTTCCTGGACGTGAYAAAATCACCTTAGCCGATGRTTCTCTTGCCCCTATTTCTGGCAAGGGAACCATCAAGGCTATAGATTCCTTGTTCCTACCTTCTGCCCTTCATGTACCTAGACTAAATACAAATTTGTTATCTGTAAGTAGTCTAACCAAGTCATTAAACTGTTGTATAACCTTCTTTCCTTCCTACTATGTTTTTCAGGATCTGGAGTCTCAGAAGGTGATTGGGAGTGGCCATGAGGCGAATGGAATATACATGCTTGATACTCCGGGACAATGCCCTGATCATCCTGGGAATGTTGCTTTTGGGTCTGTTTCTTCAGAATCTATTAGTCAAATTATGTTGTGTCATCTTCGTTTGGGTCATCTTTCTTTTTCTGCTTTGAGTCATTTATTCCCTGAACTGTTCAAGGGAATTAGTTTGTCCAGTCTTCATTGTGAATCTTGTGAGTTGTCAAAGCACTGTAGAAACAATTATCTTTTGAGCGATAAAAGATCTTATTTTCCTTTTAATATTGTGCACTCTGATGTGTGGGGGCCTTACCACTTACCCTCTATGGGTGGCTACAAATACTTTATCTTGTTTATTGATGACTTTTCTCGGTTCACTTGGATATTCCTGATGAAATCCCGTGATGAAGTTCCAAGACTTATAAGACAATTCCATGAATTTGTTCTAACCCAGTTTGATACCAGGATTAAAATTTTCAGATCTGACAATGCAAAAGAATATTTTGAGAAGAACTTATCCTGCTATCTTTCTGACATGGGGGTTATTCATCAAAGTTCATGTGTTAGGACCCCAGAACAGAATGGAGTTGCTGAAAAAAAAATAGGCATATTGTTGAAGTTGCAAGAAGTGTTTTGTTTGCCTCACATGTTCCTACAAGGTTTTGGGGTGATGTTGTTCTCACTGCTACCTACCTTATAAACCGTATGCCATCCAGGGTTTTAGGGTTTAAGTCTCCCTTCAATCTCCTTCATCTGGACAAGGACCTTTTTCCAATTCCTCTTCGTGTCTTTGGCTGCACCTGTTATGTACATGTTCCAAGTGTTCAAAGGCATAAATTTGAACCAAAAGCCCACAAGTGTATCTTCCTTGGTTATTCCCCCACACAGAAGGGTTACTGTTGTTTTGATCCAAAGACTGGCACTCGGTATGTCTCAATGGATGTCACCTTTGATGAGCTTTCTCCCTTTTATGGTTCCTCTCTGGAAGGACATTGTCCACAGGGGGAGGATTTGTCACAGGTGTTTGCTCTTCCTCTTCCTGTCCCAGTTGAGTCTTTTGATGAGTCTGCTTCTCCTTCAAATGAATCAAGGATCAGTCGTTCCATTCTCCCTGTCCCAGTGTTCTTTCTCCTTTACCTCCTCGTCCTATCCTCAATACCAAGGTGTATCAAAGGCAAAGATCCAGAAATGAGCAGGTTGTTTCCCCTACAACAGATGAGCCTCATGCACTTCCAATCACAGATGAGACAACATGTACTGTTTCAGCCCCCTTGGAGCCATCTTTCCCTGACCTTGATATTCCCATTGCTGTTAGGAAAGGAAAACGGAAGTGTACTGCACATTGCAATTCCAAACACCTTTCTTACAGTCTGCTTTCCCCTTCATACTTTGCCTATCTCTCTTCTGTTGCCTCTAACCCTATTCCCAGGTCTGTGTCAGAAACTCTTAATATTCCAGAATAGAGGGATGCTATGAGATCTGAAATTGATGCCCTACACAAGAATGACACTTGGGAAGTGGTTGATTTGCCTGAAAGGAAGGATCCAGTTGGTTRCAWGTGGGTCTTTACCATCAAATATCAGGYTGATGGCACCATTGAGAGGTACAAGGCCAGGCTGGTTGCAAAAGGCTATACACAGACATATGGGATTGATTATCTGGAGACCTTTGCACCCGTTCCCAAGATGACATCTGTGAGAGTTCTTCTATCTCTAGCTGCTCACTCTGAC